GGGGGGGTTAGATTTTACATAAGCATGACCCTGACTTCGGCTCAAGCATTAAGTCAGAGGTATAGATACAGAGCAACACAACCAAATTTCATATGCTGCATCAGTAAACAGTGCATATAAAACAGAAACTATCTGGACCAGACCCTAACAAGTAGGATGTTACATGTTAACTATTTATAATGGAAATAACATAAAAACACACTCTCTTAAAGTCAAAAACTGATTTTAGTATTGTTAAAATACAGGAAAAATGTCGTAGGAAGAGGCATCACATGAAAATTAGGTGGAAAAAAAGGATTCTATATACATACCTCTAGGCCAAAATGTTATACCTTCAGTTGTTTCAAAAAAAGCTCTTTGAGTTGCAGGAAACAAAGAGGAAAATGTCTCATTTTTTCCATGCGTTTACACTGTACATTTCAGAGCAGGTTGCGTACTCAGCATCACTGTTTGGATTACATTCAACTGCAGTACTCTGATACGCTACTCTGAATAAGCACACACTAACCGAGACTTTGCAAGAGGATGTTTACCAGCTAAAGTAGTTACTGATGAAACTCAAGAGGCAGCAAGTTGTAAAGCACAGAGAGGAAGGGGAGCGAGGACGAACAAGCCTAAAAGTATTTGGTATTGTTGCTCTTGCCTCCTCCCAACACTTTTAAATGGAGAAGGGGAGTAGAACTGCCCTCCCAATCATGAACTCCTCCCTATTGCCCCCCACCTTTTTTTTTTTTCCTAAGTAGTCATGACACGCTCCTGCGAGTGCTCTCTCCAAAACAAACAACAATAAAAGGCTTTGTTAAAACTTTGTCAGCTCTATTTATTTCAGGCCACTTCCCAGTAAATGAAAACTGGGTTGGTAGTCTCAAGTAAATTCCTATTGGAGTACGTTGCATGTTGTATTGTACGGGAGATTTTCTTTTTAATAGCAGTTTCCTGTGAAGCACACATGGAGCTGTTTCTCCTCTATGAGCTGAGGAAAAGCCTAGCACTTGAATAACAAGACTGAAACGACCTGATCCCACTTCCTTCCTACTACTCTTAGTAAGCAGTTAATCTCCCATTAATTCTGGCAGAAAAAGACACAATGAAAGATTTTCCATGAAATCGATTGAAAAAATTATGACCAACCAGCTACTCCAATCATACTATCACTTTTAATTTGTCAGCATGCAATTCAAGCATTCAGAATGACATAGTCTTCCTGGAAAGAGGAACATCTCCAGAAATACCTGAAGTTAAGAGAAGCACCTTCAAGCCCTACTCGTGTTCAAACACACACACAGCTCCCTGCTCCTCCTCCCTATCCACGGAGATTTGTTTGAGAATTCATGTTCCAAGCAGCAACATTTATCAACAGAGGTCCTGGTCTAAACAATGACAGTGCTAACACAGTAAAGTTACCTAAGCTACCCTTCTTAAGTTACAGAGGATTCAAACAAAAAGCCCAGCTGCCATTGCAGCCTAAAACGTAGCAGCTCTTCATTAACTATGTTGCAATGACATACTATGCCTGGTAATTATGAAGCACTATTTTGCACTTCTTTTTTTTGTCTGTGTATTTAAAGAAATAAATTGTTGTTAGTAAATACGACCCTTAAAAAGGTTTCAACATGCCACAGAAAACCATACAGGAAATTTCACCTCAGAAGCCCTGGCAAGGCTGTTAGAATTTAATCTGTTGGACATCAAATACCACCTTTGGCACTAGTCTACAGCAAGGCAGAACACTATACAGGGAGGACTGTTCCCCTCGGGTAGACATATTCTTAAAAATCTTTTTTTTTCCCTGACCATCCAATATCCCCCAAACCCAGAGTGTCAGAAGTTTACAGCAGGGGAAAAAAAAAAAAAGAAAAAAAAAGAAAAAACAGAACAGATTCACTGTACACTGCTAAAAAGAAACAGTTGAGTTCAGCAGTAACCTATCGCCTAGCAAGAAGAGAGGTGTTGCAAGCTCCTTGAAGAAGGCCAGAAGAATCACCTGCACTGGGCCTCGAGGATGGGGACATTGCACTAACAAATCCAAAGGAGCAGAAAGTCTCATTTGCTAAAAGCTGTAAACCTTCTCTCCAAAAAGGTATTTCCCTTGAAAGAGAAAATTCATCTTCTACTCAAAGTTATAAACCTTTACTGAAAACACTTATCCTTTCCAAAGAAAAACTCCCAGAACTGTAGTGTTTCACCCTTAAAATAAATAGCTCGTTCATTTTTTTTATCTAAAGATAACAAAAGAGTTGCAAGCAGCAAAGTGTGTGTTCACTCCAGAAGCTATTTATGGACCAAGGATGTTTCACCTTTTCCCTTCAGCTGCTGCAGTTCTAAACATTTTCATGTTTTCAAAACAGCACGTGACCAGTAATTCAACCTCTACTGACATTTTCAGTGCGCAGAGGGTTTGCATTCTGCAAAAATGTATTTAGAAAGCCAGTTAGAGCATTAAGACAACATATCAAATGAAGCTCTTTCACTAAGGAATTTTGCTTCTGTTGTTGAACGCTCACCTCAGAGACAAACGCATAGCAAAAAAGTGATTTAGCAGCTGAAAAATAGTGGGGTTTTCAGCTGCTGTACTTCTGGAAGGAGACTGTGCCAAAGTGTCATCAGGAGGAAAGCGTTAAGAAGTTGCTGAATTTTACAAAGTAATTTTCGTCACAACCTGTCTGACAGCGTCCTACGCATTAGCTTAAAACATTTTGGGACTGTGAAACAGTTTGATAAATGTACGTTCACGTTACTACAGTGCGTTACTACATATTCTTCAGATGTACTTCTGAGTTTTGTCACAGAAAATAAGTATTTTAGAACAAAACAAAAATAAAGGAAACTGCAAATTGTAAGAATTAAGAAGAGAGATGGGAGGTGGCGGTGGCATGAGGAGAAGGATCAATAGGTTGGCTTTCAGTTACTCAAGTCAAGCAAATTTTGAAATAGTGAGTTCCATTAATTCAACATGATAACCAGCCAATGTATTACAGTACATAAGAAGTGTCAATGATATCTCACTAATTTTAACTTCTCCTGTCACCTCGTGTAACAAAGTATCTTCCTCAATCTGAGATTTTACTTTGCTAAACTTTGTGGCCCCTAGTCAAAAATACCAATAACATGACATCGAAACACGTTAACAGATTGAAAAATAGCAGGCTTTTCTTATGAACATATGATAGAACTTCTTTAATGTAATTCATAAGAAAAAAATCCAAATATGGACTGCATATATTAAAAACAAAAACAATCACAAAATTTTGCTGTTGAGAATTCTGATGATTAAAAAAAATGGTCTAAGCTCTGCACCTCCAGTTGAAAGCTTTGATTGAAAAACAATCATATATCACCACTGTGTATAGTTTATTTATGATATGAAAAATATAAAAACATCAGAACTGTAATACAGAAATATCCTAAAATTTAAAAAGTGACTTTCAATAGCTTGGTGCCATGTGCCTCTTGAGAACACATTGCATACCGCATCCACTATATACATGTTACAAAAATTAGGAAGTATGCTAGCAACTGTAGTTGGAAAATGATAACTATTGACCCACTAACCCTTACTTTTTTTCAAGTAGTTTACAAGAACTATCTGTATACTCCTATTAAACTGGGCTGTTTTACATGCAGAGAGTTTTGAAGAAGAGATCAACAGATGAGGTTTACTTATAGAAGACCTTTCCTTCCTGAAAGGAAAGTGAAATGCAAAAAATGGGAGCAGCTTGGTCTGAGCACTGGAAAGTGTGCAGTGAGCAAGCCTTGTACGGATAACCTCCTCCTGTGAAGGTAACAATCAGTATCATACCTTCTATC